TGTTGGTAACACACCAGTGGTTTGTTCACTGCTGAGCAGTGCTTGCCCAGCATCAAAGCTGTCTCTTCAGTATTCCCTCCTCACCAGTCAGCTGTGGGTGAGCCAGATCTTGGGAGGGGACACAGCCCAGGTAGCTGATCCCAACTGTCCAAAAGGGATATTCTATACCATATGTCATCTGCTCAGCAATAAAAAATAAGGGAAAAGAGAGGTGTGGGGTGCATTTATTGTTACATTTGTCTTCTGGAGCAACCACTATGTGTACTGAAGCCCTGCTTCCAAGGAAGTAGCTGTACATAGCTGGCTGATGGGAAGTAGAGAATAAATCTTTTGTTTACCATTGTTTCTGCACATGGCCTTTGCTTTTGCTGTATTAAACTGCCTTTATCTTGACCCACAATTTTTTTCCATCTTACTTTTTCCCCACCCTGTCGTGCTGAGGAGGGAAGTGGTGGAGTGGCTTGGTGGGTAGCTGGCATCCAGCCAGGGTCAACACACCACAACAGTTCACCCATAAAGTGGCATTAAGTAGTGACATTCAGTTTATTAAACATCATGGTTCAATTAATAAACTAAAAATTTCCTATGAGAAAAATATGCAAGTTGCTATAATATTTTTAAAAACTGCTTCATGTATGTGCTCTGGGGTTTTTTTACCTCAGTCTTTTTGCTGTGATCTGACCAGGTGGAGTGGACCATTTTTCTAGCATTCTATTCAGCAGTGGACTTCAGTACAATTTGTACTCATAATTTGTACTTAGATATTTTGCGGCACATGAGTGTCAATGGATTGCATAAACTATTCAGTAATACCATTAAAATTGAAGTTCAGCTGATTTTCCTTAAGAAAATTTTATTTCTGAGGTCAAATATGTCCAGTGTTTCAAATCCCATCAAAGTGAAAACAGGTATTTAAATTGTCATGTAGCTTTTTTGTGTTTAGCACAATTACAGCAATCAAAGCCTTGGAAGCAGCAGCAGGAGCAGCATGACTTCCTTTAGAGGTGTAACTTGGATGACAAATCTGAGCGAAGTGGAAGACTGCAGAGTCTTAGAATAAAACTTTTTTTTGCTTCATGTGAGTTGTTTTTCCCCTAGTATTTTCCATATTTCTAGTATTTCACAGAGAAAGGTCTCTTTTCGCTCCGACTGAAAAGAATGTCCTGTACTACAGCTCTGTGGTTATTAGAGTGCTCTTTTTAGATGTTCTATATGGATTTTTGAAACTTAAGAAAGAAAATAATCACTTTGCAATACCTGTTACTGTTGGGACCTCTAATCCTTTGGGTTCCTCAGCAGTGAGTGGAGGGAGTGATTCCCATCATGAATAATTCACATGTTGGGGATGCTGAATTGCCTCTCAGATTGTCTTTATTTCTTAATTATCATGGGAAGGTGACATAAACTCTGTGGCCTTCTCAGCATCTCAGTGAAGTGCCTGAGAGTAAGTGGGATGAGTCTGAGCCAGTTGGTATTTAAACAAAGAGTTTTTGCTAGATCCTGAAATTTTTAAGGGCTATTTCATATTCAGATTAAAATTTTTCATTTCAATTGCTCATTAATATATCTCATGAAAAAAAGCACCCCAAAACAAGAAAACATCTATGAGAAGTCCTTGCCACTTCTGATTGTATTCTTGGTATTCTGAACACTAACTTTTGAATATCAGTGCCTTTCTGATTCCTTTCACATGTCTTAAGTCCTTAGCAGATGCCAGTGGTAGGACCGTAATGGCACAGAGCCAATGGAGACAGATGGGCACTGCCAGAAAGCAGCTGAGAATCTTAATCTGGTGGTGCCCATCACTCTACAAACTGCATCAGAGTGCAGGGCATTTACTTGCACGTTTGTGTGCCAGTGCTTTTGGACTGAATCCCTAAAGCCAAAGTCTGTACTTTCTCTTTCTTTGGTAGGCCATAGTAATATATATTATATATTTCTGATGTGCAGATTTACAGCAAAATTAAGTTCCACTTTTGCAGTCATGTATACTGATTTTTCATAAATATTTTGCATTTATTAAATCCCACTGGAACAAGTAGAAGGTACCTAGAGCCTTGAGAATTACGTTTTTATAGGAGTGATTTCACTGACACAAATGCAGTTCTTATACAGAGAAGTGTTTATACAGTCCTGTCAAAGTCTACATCCTTTTTACTTTGTGGATTCCTAAATGCCAGTTAAAGAGAGGTGTTTCCACCAGACCTATGCTTTTTAAGAGGTTGTAGGCTGCAGTGCGGCAAAGTAAATTCAGATCTTCAAGCTGATTCCCTCACAATTTTGCTTCCCCTTTCTAGGATTCCTTTTCTACCCTTGAAAAGAGAGTCTTTGAGTCCTGATGGGGGTGAAAGGGAAGGCTAGCAATATGGCATATGGAGGAAGGAGACTGACTTTATCCATGTTTAATATACGTGAACTGATGGCACATGCTTGCAACCCTTCGTTGGCATAGATATACTTGGAATTCTAGCCTGGGATTTAGTTTGGTATTCAGGGTGACTGTTTTGCAGTTTGAGGTCTTTTTTTCCCTTCTGTTACGATAATTCTTCCATATATATATAAAAAAAAAAAAAAGGTTCTTGTCTTAGAGCTTTCAGAGAATCAGTGCAAAACTGAACTGTCACAGTAAGAGTGTTCATTCCCTTTGATAGACTTGTTATCTTTATTTTTGTCGTTTAAGAGGGCTAGGATGGATACCTGGGGGTTCAGAGGCCATCTGACATGAACTGCAGCCTTCTGCACTTCATTCTCCAGAACAGATTGATCATGCTCACTTTACACAGCTCTTGGCCCTTTGTCTCTTCTAGGCACTATGGCATCAATCTGTCCTTCAGGCACAATTATTTCTCTGTGTTTTTTTCCGTTCAGAGTATCTAAAATAATGCAGGGGTTGTGTTGCAGCTCACCAGAATGATAGTCTTATGGCCTGATCATGCACTGTGTGCCCTCAGGTTTAATATGAGGGAGAGTGAGTTCAAGGGTACAAAGACTTTTGTGACATTATAGAATTGTACAGAACAGAGGGAGTCATGCTTAAGTGTTGTTTTAAATCAACAAACAAACAAACATGCCTGATTGTTAATGCTAACTATAAAAAGTGAGTAGAGGACAGAAAATGAGGATAGGGTAAAGCAAGGTGTACATTATATGATACAATCAAGCATGACCAAGACAAATGGGATAAAATTAAGAATGAAATATTTTATGGCCAACGATGAATGCAGAGTCTGTGGACGAATTTGTGTGGTAGGAGGGAAATGCCCTCCAATGGCTGCAGCCACTGTCAGGCCAGGCTGGGCAAAAGGCTAGAAAATAATTCTGCATCAATAAAGATAAGGGTGGGGTGCAGTAGAAACTTCTTTCATTCTCTCATGGGAAAAACAAAATTAATCACAGCTCAAAAACTGGCCCTCAGCTATGTTGGGCTCTTTCCCCAGCCTTGCCTTTTGTCTGCACAAGCAGCCTTGATCTCTCCACCTCAGCTCAGTGCAGAACTGTTACATGGGCTTCCTTTCCTCAGGACAGTTGATAAAACAGTGGCGTGTTATATCCTAGTGCACAATAACCAGTTGTTCATATGGGAAGGAATTCAATGTACTCTAGATATTTAAGTTACCCAGCGGAGGTACAGAAGGTTATACTTGAGAGAAACAGGCACTTCCAGCAGATCCTTTCTTTGCTACTTATCACGTAGACATATATATATATTTATAGGCCTAGCCCCATAACACGCGATTTCATATTAAAATTGCATAGTCACTAATTTTCTTTTATACTTCACCTCATCCTCTGAATAGTAGAATCATAGAATCATAGAATAGTTAGGGTTGGAAAGGACCTTAAGATCATCTAGTTCCAACCCCCCTGCCATGGGCAGGGACACCTCACACTAAACCATGTCAGTCAAGGCTTCGTCCAACCTGGCCTTGAACACTGCCAGGGATGAAGGATTCACAACTTCCTTGGGCAACCTATTCCAGTGCCTCACCACCCTAACAGGAAAGAATTTCCTCCTTATATCCAATCTAAACTTCCCCTGTTTTAAGTTTTAACCTGTTACTCCTTGTCCTGTCACTATAGTCCCTAAGGAAGAGTCCCTCCCCAGCATCCCTGTAGGCACCCTTCAGATATTGGAAGGCTGCTATGTGGTCTCCATGCAGCGTTCTCTTCTCCAGGCTGAACAGCCCCAACTTTCTCAGCCGATCTTCATATGGGAGGTGCTCCAGGCCCCTGATCATCCTCGTGGCCCTCCTCTGGATTTGTTCCAACAGTTCCATGTCCTTTTTATGTTGAGGACACCAGAACTGCACACAATACTCCAAGTGAGGTCTCACAAGATCAAAGTAGAGGGACAGGATCACAGTATCACAGTATGTTAGAGATTGGAAGGGACCTCAAAAGATCATCTAGTCCAATCCCCCTGCCAGAGCAGGAACACCTAGATAAGGTTACGCAGGAACGTGTCCAGGCAGGTTTTGAATGTCTCCAGAGAAGGAGGCTCCACCACCTCCCTGGGCAGCCTGTTCCACAGGATCACCTCCTTCGACCTGCTGGTCACATTCCTTTTGATGCAGCCCAGGATATGGTTGGCTTTCTGGGCTGCAAGCGCACACTGAAGCCGGCTCATGTTCATTTTCTCATCGAACAGCACCCCCAAGTCCTTCTCCGCAGGGCTGCTCTGAATCTCTTCTCTGCCCAGCCTGTAGCTGTGCCTGGGATTGCTCCGACCCAGGTGTAGGACCTTGCACTTGTCATGGTTAAACTTCATAATGTTGGCATCAGCCCATCTCAGAAGTGTGTTAAGGTCCCTCTGGATGGCATTCCTTCCCTCCAGCATATCAACTGAACCACAGAACTTGGTGTCATTGGCAAACTTGCTGAGGGCACACTAGTCCCATGCTGGAAGCAGAAGCGGTCAGCACCAGCCTTGGGAGCGAGAGCTGCTGAATGCTATCTGGCTCTTCATTGTTGCCGCTGCGTGTCGCCTGCCCACCCGTGTGATGGTGGCCACAGCGCTTCCCTCAGTGCCGCTGCAGTTCAAGACCATCTGCGAACCGCACAGGGGCTGGACAAGCACGAGCCGGTGGTTGTGTACTACTGTTGTTTGTATGCAATGGAAACAGGAATGAAGATTGATAGTAAAACCCCAGAATGCCGTAAATTTTTATCCAAACTTATGGACCAGTTGGAAGCTATGAAAAAGCAATTTGGTGATAATGAAGCAATTACTCAGGACATTGTTGGTTCTGCTCATGTGGAGAATTATGCCTTGAAAATGTTTTTGTATGCAGACAATGAAGGCAGAGCAGGACAATTTCATAAAAACATGATAAAGTCATTTTATACTGCACATCTCCTGATAGATGTTCTAACAGTATTTGGTGACCTCTCTGAAGAGAACACCCAGCACAGGAAGTATGATAGGTGGAAGGCAGCATATATTCATAACTGCTTGAAGAACAGAGAGACTTCTCAGCCTGGGCCTATTGGAATGGAAGGAGAGAGCTTTGATGTTGAAAGGGAGGAAGCAGAGTCATCTTCCCTCCATAGTGGAACAACTCAACCAACATCATCATCTACATATGAAGGTAACAACAAAGCAACTAGTCATTACACTGGCATACATATACCACCAGGTGCCTATGCACCAGTGAACACTCCAGCTGAAGTACCTCATAACACAGGAGTGACAAGTAACACCATTCAGCCTTCTCCTTAGAATACTCCACTAGTCAATCCTTCCCTTTACAGTGCTCAGTTTGCAGGGGAAGTCTGTTTGACTCCAGAGGACTTTGCCAGAGCTCAAAAATATTGCAAATATGCTGGCAGTGCTTTGCAATATGAAGATGTGAGCACTGCTGTACAGAATCTACAGAAGGCTCTGAAGTTGCTGATCACTGGCAAAGAATGAAGCCTTTATCCAGTATATTCATGGCTTTTGCCTAAAGAACTAACAGCTTATTACTGTACCTGTTAGGGGAGTGGAGTTATACAGAAGTTCTCATTATTTTTTTTCAAGGCCAGGTTGGACGAGGCCTTGGGTGATATGGTTTAGTGTGAAGTGTCCCTGCCCAGGGCAGGGGGTTGGAACTTGATGATCTTGAGGTCCTTTCCAACCCTAACTATTCTATGATTCTATGATTCTAAGACATCATACTTTAAGTGCCACGCATTATTTGCCATTAATGCCACCTGGTGTATATAGTTTATGTGGTGACATTTAATAATTGCACAGTACCCAGAGTATATATAAATAATTTCCTCTTCTCTATCATAAATTTTCCAGAAAAGTTTGGCTGAGGAAAACAGATACATAAACTAGTGGGCTTGATTTCAGAAGGTGTTTTACTACAAACACTGCTAATACAGCAGAGTTGGCAGTACATGTGCTCCTGTCTTTATTTCTGGCTTCCATTTCCCTTTGTAGAATCCTAGATAACTCAGAGGAGGAACTGAAACACTAATTAGTGAAAGCTGACTGCACATCCAGATTCCGCCCTCATTCTCTCTTTATCTGCATATAGTTTTGCCATCCGATCTGTTATTCTGTTGGCTCAGAGCTATCATCTTGGATTTCTTCTTCATTTTCTTTGCTGTCTTCTAAGCCATTTCTCTTTTACTGAGAAACTGCCTCCCACTGAATATTCTTGGTTTTTTTGCAAGAGAAGTCTTACCATTTTTACCCTCAGTCATTCCTTTTCATCCCCTGCCTGAAGTAAAATTTCTCAGTACTGCCCAGCATAGAAGCCACTACCAATAGATCCATTCACAGATCCTGAATTTCTTCTTTCTGTCTCTCTTCTCTAGCCAAGGTTCAGCAACCTTTGGTCTGTGCTGGCTGTTAGACCTTCAAGCCAAGGCTGACAAACCTTCATTTGTTCAGACCTACTCTCCTTCATCCATTTAGTTGCTGCCATTCAATGAGAACTCATTCTTCTTCACTGGTAGGCATACACATATATATAGCATTATGCATATTAGTCACTGAAACAGGGCAGAAACAAAGCAAACACTAAGAGGCCTCTGTGGCAAGTTTGTTCATTATGGGTGAGCAATCTTATACTCTGGCTCTGGAAGATTATCTGAACCATTTCTTCTCATGGGGGCCTTCTTTCTCTGCTGAGTGCACACCTGTTTTATGCTTTGTGGAGCCAGCATAGCTCCTGTACTGGTATTTTCATGTACATTAAACCTTTTCCTGTTAAAGAAAGCCGTTGCCTGTGCACTGATAGATATCAGGTAGACTTTAGCCATACTTATTAACAGCATAAGTGGTTTGCCAAGATCAGGTTATGGTTGGTTGGTTGGTATTGTTCCATCCCACCCTCGTAGTAAACATTCTACATGCAAATACATGCTTCTTCGAAAGGCAAAAATTTGCTAAGTATAAATTTTGCTAACCAACCCATTTGCCTCATATTTGTACATTAACTCTTTTAAATAGTTTTCTGTACATTGCATGCTTCCTTTAAAGTGATTCTGTTGAATGCAAGTTTGAAATACCCGTAGCACTGAATTTAAAATGGGGGGGAAAAATAGAAGAATGTGCTATGGCAATAGTAAGGCATAACTGTAAAACACAGCCACCTACAACTCAGTACTCAGCTACACCTTTGAAAAGAATGGGAGGACATGGCAGGCAACACACTGGAAATTCACATTTCCACCTTGAAGTCAGATATCTTTAAAATAAGGAACACTGTAGTAATGACTGGCTAGGAAAGGTTTCAGAAAGCTTGATTAACATCATGAAGTTTTTTAACAGAGGTATTCATCAAATACAGTTCTTCTGGGAAGTATTCAGCTGCCTTAACTATGAAGCCATCCTTCCTCATACACCATTCTCTGCCTTACACTACGTGTTGCAGAATATTCATGTAGTGACGTACAACTTACAGCCCCCTGATGTTCACTGAAAAGTTCAGGACTTTGATAACCATGTCATTAAAGTCTGTATTACACCATGCACATACCAGACACAGATGACTTTAATTCCAGCATTCTGTAATTCATACCTTGCGTATTTAGTAATGTTCTGTTGTTACCAGATTTATTTTTGCACAAAGTAATTTTCAGCTAAGAAGCTATTAAGCATATAGGCCCTTATTTTATTTACTGAATATCAGTATTTTATTCAGAAAAAAATCCAGTTTAGCAAACATAGCCATATATATGAATTTCATTAAAGTAATTAAAATATATAAGGACTTTGTGCCCCAGTTCTCTTATCGATGCAATTGGCATTATTTGTGGAAAGTAAGGGTGCAGCCATTGATGGTAGTTTGGTTTACACTATGTCTTCTTGTGGATGGTATTTGTTTTATTTGTGTGCTCCCAGTCAGGGGGATTCCTGAGAGAGAAGGGAGCACTGCTCCTTTTTCAAGGATGCTGTTGAGCATGCTTCATTGTGGGGATGGTTGCAAAGGATGTCGATGAAGTCAGGCAAGGTGTAGCGGTGTTACAGCATTGGGATCTTGCAGCTTATGCCAGGAGACTTCCAGGTGGCAGTGAGTAGGCATCCTTCAAGAGGTGACAGGAATCACTTCCTGGGGGATAGAGCACACTGAGCAGAGTTTATTGCAGCTGAGAATGTCATTGAGATGACTAAAAGCAGAACTGGAGCAATGATCTGCCTGCAAGGATATATGGGCAAAGAAAGCTGTGTATGATACAGAAATACCAACTTTGGCTTGCCAGTCTTTCACTTGAGTGTTCTGAGGCAGGTTACTACTCACTGATTGAGCTGCAAAAGAGGATGATTCACTGCTCTTGGATAGGGTTTCTGAAAGAAAATTCATGGGGGATTCTCTGCGTTCTGCAGAGCTAAATAGAGCCCAAGTACTGATGCTTAGAGACCACCTTGTACTTATCCCTCAGTGAAAAGATGAAGAGGAAAGAGTACAGTAGAACCCTGGCACCGTCAGACTCAGCAAGACTTTTGCCACTGGCTGCACTGGGAAAGGATTTGATCTCTAATGTTTTGGATGTAGGACAGTTTTGCAGTCATTAAAAATGGCAGATATAAACAAATCTAAATGTCAGTCTTGAAACAAATAGAAGTACTGCAATTCCATTAGGCAAAAGGGACATGCACTTGCTAAGTGTTCCTCCTTAAAAACATGAAGATTTAGGGGTATGTGGAAGAAACCAGATATTTATTCCTCTCAGCTATAAATATAATGGAAAAAGGAAGTTCCTCACATTTACTCTACCTGTAAGAAATGTACTTTACTGCTTAAGTTTAACATTGAACACATATTTAGAATACTGCCTAGTTCTTGGAATTCATGATGTACTGTGTGCTTCAGCAACTCCGAGAATTGTTTTCATTCCTTCAGTGGAACTTGCGTGCCTAAATCCACTAGAGTGCTTTGAAAATCGTGATCTCTAAGCCTGTTCACATGTGCGTATGCTGTGTTTTCATAAACCAGTAAGAGCTTGTATCAAGACAGGTAAGTATGTACAAGACACATGGTGAAAGCTGCAAACTTACTTATTTTTGTGGATAGTGGTTATGCAAATGTATTCAAATGAAAACATTAGGAACTGGCATAATCATTTGCATGAAAGGAGAGTGATATCAGTGTGTGTACATGTGAACCAGTGGAGTTACTTTTACAGATCATTTGGAAAACTGTCTGTAGTCACTGAAGTTCCTTTTTCACATTAAAAACCTCACATTGTAAATCAATGTACAATTTATGATGTATACAGCATTTCAGTTCAGCATTAATCGTGAATATATGCCAGTAAGGTTAATTCTACTGGCAGTATGAGAGATGAATAAAATATGGTATGCAGAGGGAGAATAATGGAATATAGCTGTGGGTTAGAAAGAGATGTGTGGCAGTGATGGATGCAGTTTTTACTCTTCACTGATGGGAGAGAAACATTAAGTAGAAAGTAATTTTGAAATTGCTTAAAAGCTTTAGGGGTGGGAATGAGGGCAAGAATAGATATTTATGTGTAGGTGTGGCTGTTCAGACATAGACATAGAAGAAATGGAATTTATTTGGCTGTCTTAGGAGTCTGGCAATTAAATGTGCTGATAGGAGTTGATCACCTTAGGCACTTCGTAATCAGAAGAAAAAGACATCAAGAGGAGGTGATTCATATAGTTTTAAGGCAGTCATTGGTGATATCTCAAAGCCTAGGTCATTTAAATGTCCAAGTCTCCAGCTAAATTCACAATGCAAATACTAGATCACATATTGTAGTAATGCGTTTTCATCAGGCCCTACTTTTCAAGTAGGTATAAAAGCCCATCATGATAATAGTGAGCAGGATTTTGAGGGCACAGTCTTGTTTACAGACACACCAAAATTCATCTGATAAAAATAAAAATCCAGTTGGTCAAAACTGAAAATTGGATATACAGGTCTGAAGAGTTCCTACTTCATTGCTATTTAGAATAGCTTATTAATTCAGTATACTGCAGTATGTCAGTGACAACAGTTCCCTTTAAAGAATTTGTACAGGATAAAAATACATTGGGAGTGTATATCTCATGATGTCTTACAAATAGTTCTTCAGTTTTGGATGTATGTCAGTGACCATAATTAAGGAGATGTTTTTCAGTAAAGACAAATAAGTTTATTAATATTTGATATTATCAGAATCATATATAAAGTATGCTTATAAAGTAGCTGCAATTTCTGTATTTTCCTGTTTTCCATACAGACTATAAAAGGAAATACTACTTCACAATACATGTTAATGTGACCATTTCTAAAAGTGCTGTAGATCTTACTTGGAAAAATAAAATCAGCTTGATGATTTTCAAATGAGGAAACTTCTAAATTTACAAAACTTGAACCAATATTGTCAGACTTATGTTATTAGTTTGTTTCATCATTTAATTACAGCGCCATTCTTATTTCCTCCAGTCTTATGAGGTACCTTATAATTCCATTGAGAATTATCAAACAAGAATTATATATTACAAATATAGGACAACAACATTTTCCTATCAAAGTATATTCCTTTGTTGTTACAAAA